AGGTTGTTGGTTTTGGGCAGGAACACAGGAGTCATGAGTACCCTTCTTAGGGCATTGTGTCAGGATGTACCTCATACTTGAGTCTTGAAGTCTAGAGCAGGGACTATACTTTGAGATGTCCTCTACCTGAGCACAAGCCCCCAGACCTCTCACACCCAACTACCTAAATCAATGCCTGACTCAACCTGACCCTGTACCAACCCCATGGGCTTGTACATCTGACTGAGCAGTGCCCAGCCATGTCAATGGTTAAATATTTTTACTCACTCCGATGATTACACAGCCTTCAGATAGTACTCACCTTCTGTGTCTCTGGGGGTGGGGCATTTCACTTGCACAAATTATTCTCTTATCATGTGTCCAAATGACACCCCCATCTTGAGGAGGGGAGCACAGAGGCTTCTGCCCACAGGTGGATCTGGGTCAAGTGAAGGGAGTCCCATTGCCTTTGGCATCTTGGCAGGATGGTAGCCTGGGTGGATATGCAGGGCTGTTTCAGGCTGACAGCTTCTGGTAGGACTCAAGGACAAATACTTCTTACCAGAATGTGGCAACTGTGAAGGAATCCATGGGCCTGGGATTTAGCTCAGTGGTGCTGCCACCTGCCTCATAACTGTAAGGTCCCGAGTTCGATCCCCAGTACCCAAAAAACAACAAAGAATAAATAAATAAAAAGTTAAAAAAAAAAAGAATCCAATTACTGCAATGGCACAAGATTTCTCTGAGCCTGGGGCACATGGATTGTGGGAGGCATGTTTGAGCACAATTAATAGTTAGAATTGGGCAAAAATGTTTTTTTTTCTTTTCCTGAGAAAGAAGAGTCCGAGGATGGACTATTAAACAGATGGGGAGCCAGGCATGGTGGTGCATTGCCTGTAATCGCAGCACTCGAGAGACTGAGGCAGGAGGATTACCTCACATTCAAGGCCAGCCTGCGCTACATAGTTAAAGACCAGCCTTAACTACAAGGTGAGACCCTGTCTCAAAAAAAAATTAAAAATACATGTATAAATAAAAACAGATGGGGAACACTAAGTGGGCTTTAAGGAGAATATGAACTACAGGTTCCTGGAACCAGGCCCATACCCACGCTCAGGGACTCAGCACCCCGCTGGGCCTGCTGGGTTCAGTCCCCTGGCTGCCCCTCCTCCTTCCCATGTGCCATTTTCCCCTGGCAGACTCAAGAGCTCTGCCTGCCTAGACCTTCTGTGTTTCACAGTGATCATTTCAGGCCTGTGGCACACGTGACTTTCTCCACCCTGGTGTTCACCTGCTCCTCGTCCTTTGTGGTGCAGATGTTCCAGGAAACCCTCCCACCCCATGCACCAGGCTGGGTCCAGTGCTTCCCTGCGCTTCCCACCCCAGCCCGGATCACTTCAACCCCTAGTTTCTCCATCATAGCCCTGACTGACCCAGGCCGTCACAACCTAGTGATATTTCATCTCCTCTCCAGACTCCCTGAGGACAGGATCCAGGATGTCACCACTGTGTGCCCTGTATTGCCCAGCCTGGGCTGGCCCGAGGCAGTGTTTGCCAAGTGAAGGACCTCATTGTGACCGTGACTTCTGGCATGTATTTGCGTCTCCCTGATAAGATAGTGGACTCCACAGTGCCCTTTACCTCTTGGGCAGGTCACTCCCTCCCTGGCCTCCAGAGCCTGAAAAGTGGAGTTAGGGACTGAGCAACAGGCATCTTGCTTCTCCCCCGTCTTCGGGGCAGACAATAGGTCAGAGTAGGGAACAAGATTTTCCAGGCCATCCTTGTTCTGGTATCTGAAGGTCATTATAGAATCCAACTATCTTTCCCTTCTCCTCTGCTCCCTTCATGCCCCAGCCTCCATCCCCTCCTGCCTATGAGACAGGAATAATCAGGATGGAACAATGATGGGACAGAAGGCTCAAACAACAAAATAAACCCCTGGGTCAGTAAAGTCTCACCCTTTGTAGTGTGGCATGTTCAAAAGACCCATCATTCCTAAAATGTACCAATAAAAGAATTTAAGAAAAACAAAAAAAGACCCATCATTAGACCCTGATAAAACCGCAGAAGCAGAATGTTTGCAGAAAAGGAGAAATTGTTACCAAGGAAAAACCCAAATAAGCCCGCTAGTTTCACTTGCACTTAAACTACTTAAAAATCACTACTTTTAGAGGTCACACAGGAGGGCAATACACTATTAATTTCCCACTGCCTTTGCTGTAGGTGGCATACTGATGCATGGGTTGTGCTAACAGTGCCTGGGTTACTTCCCCAGGGACCTGATGGCTGCTTTTGCTGAGAACACTGACCCTTTGCTCGGGCCTACAGATGTCTGACGGGTGACTAAAATGGGATCAAAGCCTGGCATCTCTCTCTTCATACTGTGTCTGTCCCCTTCTCTGTCTTAACCCTTGAGTCAGATTCTACTCAGCTCTGCACTGAGACGTGTTGATCATTTCAGAAATGTTTAAGAGTAAGACTATGATACAGGGCCAGCTTGGCCTCTTGTCCATGGGAGCTGCTCTGTGTGTGTGTGTGTTTTTGCTTTTTTCCCCGGTATTGGAGATCGAACTCAGGACCTTGCGTTGGTGCTCAGGTGCCAGAACCACTGAGCTAAATCCCCGGCCCCTGCTCTGTGTTTTTTATTCCTCTCTCCTCTCTTTTCTGCACCTACCTTTGTGTGTTTTCAGCAGCCACAACAACCCAAGCACCTGAAGTCCTTCAGCCCTACCCTAGGGCCCAGATCTTCTAGACCTGGATATTCTGTACAGGATGACGGCAGTAGCTACATGAAAATTCAGCAGCCTCCAGGACGAGTGGACCATAACCACCCAGTGATCTGAATCATCACAAGATGAAACATCTTTTAGAATCGTGCTCCTGGCCAATAAGAATTACCAGACTTTAGCCCACTCCAGCAATCAGTAAAATCTTGCTGCTCTCTTTGTCCTGTGAGTAGCAGCTTAGCCTCTCTCTGGACTAACTGCAGGTTCCCTTCAGCCCAAGCCCCAGTGCAGCCGAAGCCCTTCTCTCCCCTCCCTATCAATAAGCTTTTCCTGGGCAGGAGTATGTGTGTGTTGCAATATTTGGTTCATCTCATCTCTACTATCCCTGGGTAAAAAAAATGCTGTTGCCCACTGTCACGCAGACATCCCGCCAGCCTCTTCCCTGGTTCCCTGCCCTTGACTCCATAGTCTGTTCCCCAGACTCAGGTGGAGGGAAACTGTGAGCCCCTGAGACACACCGCAGCCCTCCAGGTCAGAGTCCTGCCCTGGCTGCACCCATCTCCAGCTGAAAGCCGAGTCCTCACTGGCACCCGAGGCCTTAGTGATCTAACCCATTGCCTCCTGAGCTCCACTCCTCCCACTGGCGCTTGGTCCCCTCATTCCGACTTTGAAATCAGCAGACAGGTCCATGCCTCACGAATTCCCACTTAATAGGAAGGGCTCTTCCTTCTTTGCAATTTAGTTCCTTTAGACTTCCTTGCATCCAAAACACTGTGTTGTCTTTAAAAAATATGAATTTCTAACACAGGTGTGGTAATATACGCCTATAATCCCAGCATTTGGGAGGCTGAGGCAGGAGAATTGAAAGTTCAAATTGCCTGGGTGCAATTTGAGAGCCTGTTTTACACTAGGCCCACTAATTTTCTCTCTTCCCAGAACAAGACAGGCTGCTTCCTGCCTCCCAGGGTCTTTGCACTTTCTCTTCCACTTGGAACCCTCTTCTCTCAGAGTTTTCTAGGACTCTGTTGCTCTCACTTCGGGTCACAGCTCCGCCATCAGCTCCCCAGGGCTTTCCTCAGTCAGTCTGTTTTGAGTCTCTCTTCCTGCTCTCCCAGTTTCTTTCTGTCTTCTCATGAGATTGACCACTACCTAGAACTGTGTCACCCGGTATGGTAGCCACTAACTACATGTGGCAAATTGAATTAAATTATAGTTAAATAAAAGATTAAGCTCTTCAGTTGAACTAGTCATATTACCAGCAAATTTGGCTAAGAATTGGACAGAGTGAATTATAGAACACTTCTTTCATTAAAGAAAGTTCTATTAGTCACTGTAAGTTCTATTAGGCACTATAAGTTCTATTAGAACTAGCTCATGCCTTTACATTTTTTGTGTGTACTTCTCAATATAATGTGAGAGCATTTTTTGGTTTTATTTTGCTTTGTTTTGGATTGGTTTGGTTTTTTGTTTTCTTTTGCTTTGTTTTTTGTTTTTGGCAGTGCTGGTGATGGAATCCAGTACCTTATAAATGCTAGGCAAGCACTCTACTACTGAGCACACCCTCAGCCCCTATAAGTTTTTCATCTGTCTGATTCACCATTGGACCATTAAGGCTTAAAACAGCACCCAGCAATGTTATCCAATAAATGGTCATTGAGCAAATGGTCATCTGTATGAGCCCCATGGTGCCTAGGGAAGTAGATTCACAGGGCCATGTGAACACATGTATGCACACACGTATGTATCAGATAAATGGGAAAGCAGAAACTTCCTCATCAACTTTATTGCTCTTAAAAATTCTGCTGAATGGGAAACTTGCTCCAGCACAAGCAGTGGGAAGGGCAGGTGGGTCCTAGGGAGAAAAGGAAACCCATGGGGAGGAGTCCCTCTGAGAGACTGAAGGGTGATGGAGGAAAGGGCCAGGGTCCATCCCAGGGAGAATGGGGGTGGGATGGATTAGAGGACAGAGGATGGATGGAGGAGAAGACAGGGACATCCAGCCCTGGGCAGGGAAGTGGAGTCACAGCAGAGCAGGGACACGATGTACAGAGGCAGGAAGTCCTCTGCTGGAAGTCTGTGGGGAGCTGCAGAGACCACTTCTGCTGCCTCCGGAGGCCCACAGAGCCCAGAGAGCTGCAGGCTTACACCTGTGCTGGGCAGAGCCCAGAAACAGGTCTGCAGACAGCCCGGGGGACTGGAGACCTCAGAGGCTTCAGAATGAGCACGGGCTAAACTCATCCCACCACTCAGGAGACCTGCAAGGTGACCCTGACCCACCAGCAGGGGTCACACTGACCCTTGTGATGATGACGATCCACAGTATCCATGAGCCCTTGCTGTCCCGTTACCTCCTTCCTGTACTGTTTACTCTCTCCCTACGCTCCAGTAATGTCCCCCACCTTCCTATAGGCCCCTTGCTGCTGCCAATAATCTCTGCTTTGTACCACGTACCCCTTTCCATCTCCCAGAATCCTCTCTACATGCTCCTGTAATCCCCATCCCGTGACTGTCAGTACCTCACTCCCTCCCTATCCCTCAAATCTCCTCCCTATCCCACAGTCTCCTCCCCGTCTCTTTCTAACATTTTCCTTGTGCTCCTTATCTTCCAGTCCCCACAGCCTCCTTCCTTTCCTGGTAACCTCTTCCCCATCCCCATAACACCATCCAGATTGTCCACTGATGCCCACTTCAGTCTCCCCACAGCCTCCTTGCAATCTCTCCATAACTGGGCCCTTCTGCCTCACAACTCTGTCCCATCCCCCATAATATCCTCCCTGGGCTCCATAACTCTTTCTCCCACATTCCCTTCCAATCTACCTGTCACATCTGGTGAGGGTAGATCTTATCTAGAGTTCAAAGAACTATACCAATGAAAGAATTAGAGACATTGTTACAGCACTCAGGGGGCTGGCAGACAGAGGAAGAGAGCGGCACTCAGAGAACTGAAAGGAAAGGCAGGCTCATTCACTAGCGGGCTCAGTGGAAGTCACCTTCCAGAGTCTGAGCCCCGATTCTAATAAGTTTCCTTTCATTTTTATATTGCTCTTTCGGCAGGGCAAGGAAGCAAGCAAAACAGAAGCAGAACTTAGCACAGGGGCAGGGAGGTACAGGCAGATGTTGTGTCAGCAGTTCATCTTTCGGCCATAGTGAACCTCGTGGGTTTAGCAGGAGGGGCAAGTTTTGAAACTGTTAATTTCTGTCAAGCTTTGAGACTGTTAGCCTCTGTTGTATTTTTTCTTATTTCAATATAGGTTTAGAAAGAAAAACAAAATCACTTTATTGGAAAGGCATGAATATTAGGGAACAAAATCACTTTATTGGGAAAAGGAGAGAATAAGGAGATAGTAAGGTATGGTGTTGGAGTAAGGTAGGGAGCCTGGAACGGGCACTCAGGAGTCTTTGTTTTTAGCCCCTTTTATTACACGACCAAGACAGGGACCCACCCCCTTGAGAGTTGCTATGTCTTGATTGGCTGCTCTGGGCTCTGAGACTCCTGGTCTGGCCATTCCCCCTTCCATTACCTACGTGTGCATTCTTGGATAAGCATGGCTTTGGTCTTTGTGCTGTCCGAGTACTTATCTTGTGAGATTTACAGCAGAGCCTCACATTCAAGGCTGAGTTTGTAAAAAGGATACATGTGTACCTTAGTGTATTAATATGGTGAGAGAATAATAAAATATATATGTACTCGTATATAGGTGTGTGAGTGTCCAGGTGTTAGTGTATATTTTAGATACTAAGTGAGTTTTCTATAACATAGCGCCCTCCCCGCTTTGTCCCTTTAGCGCTTAATTGGAGGTGGAGGGAGGAGGGAAAACGCCCCCCCCCACCCCCCACCCCCGCACGGAGTAAGCCAGGGTCTGATCAGCTCTTTGTTTTGCTGAGCTGCTCTCTCTAGCAGGGTTTTAACTCTTTATTTGCCAGAAACCTCACTGAGAGACACTACCTTGCCCTGCCTGTCCCCCAACTTTCCCTACACAGCCATCTTGCCCTTCCTGTCAACTGTAAGCCTCGTATTTGTGTACTCGCTAACCTCATTTTATCCTGCTAGAATCTTTTTTAAATCCCTCACTTTTGTTGACCCTATAGTCTCTTGTTAGCCAACCAACTCATTTAGAATTCCAAAACATCCCTCTAGGTTGCCAGGGACATGATGTCACCCCCCCTCTAATCTTCCACTTTGCCTTTGATTCTACTTTCCCATAGGCGTTGTGATTGGCTCCTTTTAAGTAGGGGGAGGAGTTCCAAAGGTTTTCTTTCAATTTGGCCTTCTGATTCGTCCAATGAATAGAGAAAGTATTTCTTAGGCATTCCAAAACCCTTCTGACCACTCCTCACCTACTATGCATGGAGCACTAAATTCAATTCCCAATCCCATAAAAAATAAAAATAAGCTGGTATTTTAAAAGCAATCTCTAAAAATGAAAATAAACAAGTGAGTCTAATTGGGTATCTCATTATTAGCATAACCATACAGAAAGGGATTATTCCAACTGACATTAAACATTGTAATTTAACTATACGTTCCTAGTGGGTATCCTATAAGGACAAAAAGAACAACAAAAGAATCTTTAATGTCTCAGGGGACAGGGATTTAGCTCAGTGGTGCTGCTGCCTGCTTCACAAGTGCAAGGTCCCAAGTTCGATCCCTGGTACCAAAAAAAAAAAAAAAAAGACAGATGTCTCAGAAACTGTAATTTCAATTTTGGTGGTAGTATTGGTGGTATTATTCTGAGATTAATTAAATAAATTGGATAAAATAAACAATTAGATGATATTCTATCATTACTGGTGCTGTTGTAAACTTGGATTTTTGGCTTGAGAAAAGAGGTGTAAACTGGAGATAATGGCATTTGCTTGTAACCCTAATTTCCTGGGAGACTGAGACAGGATCAAAAGTTTGAGCCCAGCCTGGGCAACTTAATGACTAAGCAAGACCTTGTCTTAAAATATAAAATTAAAAAAGGGCTGAGGATATAGCTCAGTGAAAAGGCCCTGGGTTTAATTCCCAGGACAGAGAGAGAGAGAGAGAGAGAGAGAGAGAGAGAGAGAGATTGATTTAGGGAAAAATTGTAGTTTTGATTTGGAATTGGAAATATTGGAATGGACTTCTGTTTTAGTTTACCTTTAAAAAATATTTTCTACTTCCAACTACTGAAAAAAGTTATAAATAAAAACCCACTGTAGCTCTCAGATTTTGATTTTGCATTCTTACAGACAAGAGATGAAAACTCAAAGTCCAAGAACTGCCAAAGATAAGGCTCAGAAAAACTGCCCCACACTCTTTAGGTGGTACTCCAAAGAGCTACAACATCAGCATAAAGGTCAAGTATATGGATATCAGCCTGGCCTCCTCTCTCATCTGATGGATAGGCTGAACCCATCACCCTCAAATGTCACACCTGAAAAGAGGGCCCAGACCAATGGGACTTTTGTTTGTCTGGCAGAAACAAAAGGAAATTAATTCTAGAGGGAAATAGCATCATTCTAGACCTCAGATTATTCTTTAAAATATTGCTCAAATGCAGTATCTTTATTAGTTTTCTATCACTATAACAAAATACTTGAAATTAGCGATTTACACAAAGAAATGGTTTTTTGGTTTTTTTGTTTTTTGTTTTGTACCGGGGATTGAACTCTGGACCTTGCGCTTGTGAGGCAGGCACTGGAACCACTGATCTAAATCCCCGGCCCAAAATGGTTATTTTGACCCACAGTTTCGGAGGTTCCAGTCTGTGGTTGTCTGGGCCCATTGCTTTGGGCCTGTGGTGAGGTAGCACATCACAGAAGGAGCACACAGTGAAGCAAAACCATCACTCACGGCCAGGAAGCAAAAGGGAGAATAAACAAAGGGCCAGAGCTGAACAGGACAAATACAATTTAACCTAACCTCTTTTTGTTGTGGTGGTTTTGATGGTACTGGGAATTGAACCCAGAGCCTTTACACTGAGCTTTAGCACCAGCCACTCCCCCTTTCAAATTTTTTGAAACAGAGTCTAATTAAGTTGCCCAAATTGAGCTTGAACTTTCAGTCTTCCTGTTTCAGGCTCCAGACATGCACCAATACACCCAGCTTTAAACTTTTTAGGGAAATTTCAGAAAACCAAAAACAGAACTACTGAAAAAGAATTTTCCTCAATAGAGTGAAAGAGGAGCCAGGTGTGGTGGCACACTCCCATAATCCCAGCCCTTAGGAGGCTGAGGCAAGAGGATCACCATGAGCTCAAGGCCAGCCTGGGCTACAAAGTGTGTTCAAGGCTGGCCTGAACTACATATCAAGATCTTGTCTCAAAAAAATAAAAAATAGAGTGAAAGATTAATGGCTGTTTTCTAAATAGCAGGAAACAGAGCGCAGGAAATGACCCCAGGAGACAGAGTCCAAATTAGTTACCATCCCAAAGCCACCTCAGATGAAGGACTTACTAATCAAGAGACCCCACACACTCCCATTCCAAAATCCCCTGTTATGGCTTGTATCTAGATGTCCCCCCACAAAGCCTCACTCATTCATAGGTGGGGCTTTTGGGAGCTGGCTTAATCTAGGGTGTATGATGCTGGCAATAAGGGTGGGTGGTACTAAATTAGCCTGTCGATTGGTTTAGCACAGTTCTGGATAATGGGTAGGCCTACCATGGGTGTGAGTGGCACCATCCAAGAAGCTTGTAGCCTGAATGGGATAAAAGGGAAAGGGAGGCTTGCTTGGCTGCTGCTGCTGCTGCTTCTGGTGCCTCTTCCTGCTCTGCCATGAGCTGTTTCTCTTCTGCAGTGCCTCTCTGCCATGCCATCCTGGCTTGGAGCCAATTGACTATGGACTGACCTCTACAAACTGTGAACTGAAATAAGCCTTTCCTATTTAATGTGTGGGTGTCAGGTATTTTGTCCCAGTGATGAACAAGTAACTAAGACATCCCTCTTATCCAAGGGAGACACCAGAAACCAATATGCACTCTTCATCCTATCCAATCTTGGGTTCTGTCCTTTCCCACTTCAAGGCCCTGCATTTTTGTTATTGTGGTTGTTCTGGAGTATTCACTAGGCCCTTAACACTCTGAACCAATTCATTCCATGAAGAAGTTCCTGGTTTCTGGATTATGTGTGTTGCCATTGTTCTTGTTACTGCTTCTAGGTCTTTGACTATGTACTTAAACACAGTTGTGTCTGTGGCAAAACCATAGTGGAGGCTACATCTATGGACTTTACTATGTCCCCTCTCACCCACTTCTATCTCCTTACAAATTGGTTCCTCATACCCTCCACTCCCCTAAAATTATCAGCTAGGGGAACCACCAGCCAAAACCCAGCGGTACTGTATTAGCATTCCTGATGATTCTCTCCTAAACCATTATTATGGTTTTAAAAAATTAGTTGTGTTTGTTTTGTGGTACTGGGGATTGAACCCATGTTACTCACCATCCTCAGGTTTGTTTTACTTTTTATTTTGAGACAGGGTTTCATTAAGCTGCTAAATTTCCTGGGCTGGGCTCAAACTTGCAATTCTCCTGGCTCAGCCTCCCAGAATGCTAGAATAATGGATAATTTTCTAATGATGCCTAACAAATTACTGTGAGTTATTAGTTATTAATTCCTAATTCTGTAGGCTAGAATGGCTGCTTACCTGTTCAAGATCTCATAAGGCTAAAATTGTGTCAGCTAGTCTGGGTTCTCATTTGGAGCTCAGAGTCCTCTTGCAAATGAATGTGGTTATGGCACCATGTAGATCCTTGAGGCCGCCTGCAATCTTGCCACATGGCCTCCTACACCTTTAGCTAAAGAGGCTCCAGTCCTCTCACATCTTCAACCTGTTTTGCCAATAAAACCAAGCCTTCTTTAAGAATTCACTTTATCAGGCCCACTGAGGATAGTCTCCCTCAAGTTAACTGACTTGGGACCTTAACAATCTCTGAAAAATTCCTTCAGAACAACATACAAATAAGTGCTTGATTGAATAATGGAAGAATGGAGATTTATGCTAAGGAACAGGAATCCTGGCACCATCGCAGAATTCTGCCCATACCATGGTGATTTCTTTTTCCACTTATTAGTTGGTGTCCTACTTTAATAAAGCCCTTCTCCTTTTTTAATCTTCTTTTTCTATTCTTTCTTCCTCTCAGATTGGACTATAGAATATTTTTTAAATTCAATACCATTCGTTGTTGACATTATTCCTTTTCCTCTTTCTGTCAGTACTTCTAGCTTTCTTACTGCGCTTCGTTATTTGCTCTCTTCTACATCTCTTGAGAAAGCCTTCCTGGCACTCCTGGCTCCCTCGGTTCAGAGAGAAGGGTATGCGTTAGTAAGAAAAGCCAAGACCCAAACCTAGGGCTTCCAACCAATCCCTTTCTGGGAGGGCAGGGTCAGCGTCCTGACAGGGGCTGGGGCCTGAAGGGAGGGTAGAGCCGGAAGTAGCCTGTAATAGGGACCACGCCCCCTGATGAGACCAGCCAATCAGGACTTGAGGTAATGGTATCTCCATTATGAAGAACTGGACTTTGACATCTGAGTCTTGGAATTCTGGGTAGAGCAAGGAGAGGAGCAGTGGCCTGGGTCTCTGTTTTCAAAACACTCGGACCTGTCTTTTTCTGAGTGGAAAAATCATGGGCCCGAAACCGAAAGCCCAACCTGCTCAGGGTGCTCCACCTGCCCCGGGTGCTCCACCTGCCCGGGGTGCTCCACCTGCCCGGGGTGCTCGGCCTGCCCGGGGTGCTCCGCCTGCCCGGGGTGCTCGGCCTGCCCGGGGTGCTCCGCCTGCCCGGGGTGCTCGGCCTGC